ATGGCAATTAAATAGATGCCAAGCGCTGAATAGGATGCAGAACTGTTACATTCTGCCAAAGATACAGTTTTTGAGCATAAATTGTACGTGATTTTTATGTTATCATGTAATGAATGTAAAGGTAGTGTCTTTATGTTTTTAATCACGACTTGTCATGTAGTCATTTAGCCAACGTGATCTCATGATAATTCGTATGTATTTTACGTAAAATGTGGTTCTATAAAATGTACATTTACTCACGTTTTTACAGGTACTAAAACATACAATACTGACGTATTTTCGGCATTTAAACGTACAAAACTGACGTAACGTTATTGACGACACCTAAAAATTAATCCTTATGAATATCGCGGCATTAATTTTATTATTAGTTGTTTTCAGTTGTCATATCAATTACCTTGTTTTCAATTGTAATATTAAATTGATTACTCGTTTACTTAATATGAAATGATCAAATTTAGTTTTGTGTGATTTCTGCTGCCAGCTCGTTTCCAAGAATAGGCCTACATAATGTTAAACAAGACTTCACTTTAAACCTTAAAATAAATAACATTTATGCAATCATTTAACCTTTACTTGTCATGTAATGTGTACTTTGTTTGCCATGGGTCACAAAAGGCATTTTCTCCAACATGCTGTGACTGACAATAGAACTATAAAATACACCAAAAACGCAACATAATTACGAAATGACATTTTTTTATTCGTGCTATTCCTGTAATCCAAATCTTCAGAATCCATACGACTGCGAGGAACAGACCCAAATCCAAGCCTTTATTCGACCATCTTCATCTCCATCCCGAGCACGCGCTCTTTACAAATTCAAATGTTGCCACTTCAAACGACAGGTTTTATGGCAGGATAATCGAACGCTTATTGGCTCTTGCCTGCATTTGTCACAGATTGCAACATGCCGTGTTTCTTTTGAGGTGTGTTTGAATGATGCGAGACGCCTTCACGAGTGGATCGGGAAAATAATCTGGTTAATATTTTCAGCAATTAACAACATAAATTATGCTCTGCACCCCACACAAACCTACTGTATTCCGCCAGAGAGGACTGCGACTGCAACGCATCGTGATTTGGGTTACTTTTGGTACTGCTTTTGACATTTTTGCAATAAATAAATGATTGCGATTGCATTTATCTGTCTGTCATGTTTTTCTTATACTGTACAGAAATGTTTAGGTTTATAACTAGGAGTGGATTAGCGAATATAAAAATATTTTAATGCTATTGTTACCACAATGGTTATTTTTAGGGAAGCACCGATACTGGTATCGGTATCGGGCCCGATACTGGTCTCCTGTACTCGTACTCGTACTTGTTAAAATGCCCCGATACCAAACGCCGATACCACACAGCATGTGATAAGCGCCATATTCAGACAAAGAAACACCGACAACAGAACAACAGACAGCAGAATTACATTTTAATGGGCATAATTAAGTGTGAAAATAACCGAAGGATATACAGTCAAACTAAAAATTATTCAGAGACCAGATATAATTTTTGATATTTTTTTACTAGTGGGTGCAGGACACTATAGTTCATTTATGTCTACCAGTAAAACTGATACAAATTTGGGGCCAAAAATTCTTCAGACCGAGTCTGGGAAAAAAAACATTGAAGTTGTGGTTTTCATGAAGCTGGATGACAGCATGCCCAGGAGACTACAGGCTGTCATTAAGGCTAAGGGCTGCCCGACTAAGTATTGATAGTTGTGTAAATACTGTCATACTAACAGCTGTCTGAATAATTTTTGGTTGATTGTAATCTATTACATACCTTTCTATCAAAGTTATCTAACATTATCAAGCTGAATTTGTTCTGACACAGTTTAACTCTGAGTTCTTGTCATATTTTATTACCATTTTCTAAACTATAGTGAATAAACTGTGATAATGTGAGAAATGTTGAAGGTGTCTGAATAAATTTTGGTTTGACTGTATCTATTTGATAAATGAAGTTAACCAACTAACAATATACATACTCTTTTGGTTTCTTTACCCAATATTAAAAAAAATTACAAATGCAATAAAAATATTGGTATTGGTACTCGTATCGGCAAGTACCAAAAATAAAAGTATCGGTATCGGGCGAGTACTGGAAAAAGTGGTATCGGTGCATCCCTAGTTATTTTCCTGCATATTTCGGTCAGTTGCGTTTTATATCCTTTTATATTCGCTATAAAATGGGTAGGTTAAGGTTTGGGGGTAGGTTAAGGGGTCTAAAAATCTAAATTGCTTAATAAAATGATAAAAATGCATATTCATGGTAAAATGAGTAGGTTTAGGTTTGGGGGTAGGTTAAGGGGTCTAAAAATCTAAATCGCTCATTGATAAAATGATAAAAATGAATCGATACGAATAGCTTAATGATATAAAAGATACGTAAATATTTATACGTTTTTTAGCAAAAAATACGTAGCTATTTGAATGTTTTAAACGTTGAAATACGTCTAAATTGTACGTTTTAGCATCAATAAAAACTTACAAAAATGTACGTTTTGTGCTTGTTATTGTTACGTATTAATACCTACGTATAAAAATGAGACCAGGCTGATTTATCAGACTGTTTAATTCAGCAGTCTCCAAAGAGCAGTTAAATGAAATCACAGCGGCGCACTGAGAATCTGTCATTTCAGCTCACTTTTGAACCCAGGTTCATTAATCAAGTAGACATTGGAGATGATCAGACTAACTTTCCGGTTCATGATGGACCCCCTACCTGGATTCTAAGTGGTACCTCTTAAATAAATCCCCTAGAAATGCCCAACCACAAGACTTCTATAAAAACCATGGTCCAAAATCATTAACTCTTACAGCTTGTTTTCCAAAACCCAATTCATGATTTTGTGCAGGAAAACGCAATTAAAAATCAGTATGCCACAGCAGTATAAGTGTAGTAAGTGAGACTCACGTCACCAATGACGTTGTGATTTTTGGGACACATCGTCACTGTTAATTTGGCAATATGGGAGTGCTTCCCACAAGCGGTTCAACAATTTGAGATTCACAAACTGGAGGGAGTTGGTCAACTGATTTATCTGAAAGATTGGTGGTTTAGATAGCTAGTAGAGCCTTGGATAATCAACACGAAGAAGACACAATTGTAATAAGGTTAAAGGGGTCATATGATGCGATTTCAATTTTTCCTTTCTCTTTAGAGTGTTACAAGCTCTTGGTGCATAAAGAAGATCTGTAAAGTGTATTAACAATAGATATGCAAGAGTAAATACAACAACTAGTGATGATGATACTAATAAATGACTAGGCACTGCTAATAGATAATAGACAACTAAATATGAAGGAAGATGCTAAATAAATTGTAGAAACAAATAAATGGAGTGAACACAGAATGGCAAAATGCAATGCTGTTGAGCTGAATGTAGCAATCGAAGAGAATTCTATGGTAATGTTGCTTATGGAAACCACTTAATGGCTCTGGTGGAATTAATGATAAATAACTGCTTATTTATCTCTGAACAAATAATATAACTATTATTTGTAATGCTGACCCCAAGTAAATGTTATCTAAACAGGTTAGAAAAACATAGGCTGCAGGTATAAACTAAGCCAAGGTCTTTAGGAAAGAGGTTTGGTAAGTTTATATTTACGTTTCACGGTCGGGTGATCAATCCAGTGGTAGAGACGTCTTCCACTGGTGATGCAGACTGCGTGCAGTGGGGAGGGCACAGAGTTGCGTAGCTGTCGATGTGCTGACCTGGAGGATGCTGAACTTCTGTTGTGCCACAGGGGGTCCTTAGAGCATGGACCGGGCAGCTGGGTCATCACGGGGTCCTTTGCAGACTGGCTGCGTTGTTGAGGAGCCGTGTGTTTCAGGCAGTGTCTGCCACTGCGGAGGTCCTTTGCGGACTGGGCTGCGCTGCTTTCGGAGCGGCAAGAGTCAGATGGGGTCCGTCACTGCTGGGTCCTTTGCAACTGAAGGGCAGCCAAATGCGATAAGGAAGGTTTACTCAGGAGCTGAGTTGAACCTTAGCTGTCTTGAAATCTCTTTCCTCGTCAGGCCAGAAACTCAGAACGCTGTATCTGCTACTGTCTCTCTGGATGTACTGGAGACTCAGAACAGTGTATCTGTTATTGCCTCCTTCCACACAGCTTGGAAACACAGAACAAGGAGTGTCTTTTGGGAAGGTACTTTATCTCCTTCTGATGAGGAGGAGACTGGAATCTGGCGCCTCTCCATTCCAGAAATGTGATTGGCCTCTTGTGTCCGAGGTGGCCATGGTGTTGCCCGCCCTAGTGTGGAACTCATTTGCATATAGTAGAGTAAAAAGTTAAAAAGTGTCTTTAACATTTTACCCATGCAGTATTTCTTTAGCAAACCTCTTTCAAATTATTACCAACCTCATGGGGAGCAAAAAGAGTCCAAACATGATAGGAAACTGTTGAACTATCACTTGTTCATACCATAATATGTTAATAGGCCTGCTATTGGAATGCTAATTTTACTGTTGTTCACTACATAAGAGAGAGATATGATCGTGAGAGATGAAGCGATATGAAGTTCCTTTTAAAATGATAAACAGGTTAAAAATAGATAGTTTGTGTATTTATAATGCAGATAAAGCTGTGTTTCCAGCATCTGCATAGTTTGTGTATGTGAATGTTTATGTTTTATGAAGCATTGATCATAGAGATTCTTCTATTTTGTGTTAGTGCTCTGCTAATGTTTTTGTAGCCATATGCTGCTCCTTATGCTTTCGAATGGATCACTGAATTTTTGGAGTGACTGGAGAATAATGAAAGTGTATCTTGCTTCAAAACACAGAGAAAATGACAAAAAATGTAATGTCAAGAGATGTTTTTGTGGCTGCTAATGGAAGGCAATGGATGGTTTCTGAAATAACAAGTAAATGAGAGCTCCATTAGGCTTATTTGTGAGGCCTTTGTATCATTTTATGTCTGAACTGTTTGACCGAAGTGACCTAGTTTATCACCCCTTAATTGACGCTCTTTTTCTTCCTGTTTCCCCAGAAACCTGTTAGATCGGGACACGTTCTCCAAGTCTGATCCTTGTAAGTACTTCTCTTTTTTTCCTAGCTGAAGCACTTGTTTTTGAACCTAAAATCATTTTAAAATCTCTTTTTTTTTTTACACACATTGAAAAACTGACACGTTGTTCTCAGGTTCGGTCTCTTCCACACACCTCTTCGACTTTCTTCTGCTTTCCACACTTTGCCTGCAAATTGTCTACTCTGCTATTTCTCCAAGTTGCCTAAAACACATGCATAGAATTTGCATCACAATGTGACAGCTTTTCTTCACTATCAACTGAAATGCAGAAGTGCTTAATATATGCAGAGCATGAGCTCAGTCCCCTGAATACAAATGCTTCACGAGTCATGGGGACATTTAGACCTGTGTACAGTAAATCTCTTGCTGAAGACATGAGATTATGAAATCGAGAGCAATGGGTCAAATAGTCTGGCCACCTTTGCGATTCTAATCTTTGCAAGAAAAACATTAATTGCTTAGAGACGTTGCTCTTTCATCAAGGAAACTTAATGTTTAACATTATTAAAGTATTAGAATTCTGTTAATCTTCATTTAACCCCCATTCTCCGAAATGTTGTATGTGTAAAACTAATAACTTTGAAGTGAACCTTTTTATTTTCCTTTCAAATATTTTTGTATTGACCCAATAAAAACCTAGTAGGTAGATATTCGCTCTTTACCCTTATATTGAATCCCAAAGCAAGTGTGAACTTTTGGCTCCTCAAATACTCACAGTGAATTTCCTTTCCATTATTCATTTAGGAGTAAAATGAAGTTTGATATATGCAAGCCATGCTTTACTGTTAGCAAACATCCTGATGCTGCCCACACTGCTGAGAGTGCTGTTTAGATAAATATGTGCTGCATTTCCCTCTCAGTAACAAAACTAACACAACAAAAATTACAGCGGTGAGAAAACAGCAGTTAAGAAAGCATCTTATCATAACGATGTAGATGTTTGCACGAGCTCTGCAATTTGGCACTCCAGTAAAGTACAGTCAAGTATTTTTTTCAATTGCACTTTTTTACAAGCAATTTTACAGTACTAAAGTGTCAGTATCGCTTTCAGTTAGAATTACTAAGCAGCTCCTCAATTTGAAGCTAGGTAATGTTAAATCTTTTTATTGGTGAATGCAAGGTATTCAAAATTAGTTTTTTTAGAGTTAATGTTTTTTTTTTAAGATAATGTTGTGAATAAAATAGTTCACCTAAAAATAAAGTGTTATCACTTTTCTTGTTCCATATCCACGTCTTACAAAAGGAGATGTTGGGCAAAATGATGTGTCAGTCAGTTAATTTTTCACACAGTTAATTAAATGGTGAATGAGAATGTTTCTCTGTCTGTCATTCCATTTTGTGTGCCACATTTATTTATTTATATTGTAAAAAAAAAAAAGTGTTATTGTATAATAGTAATGTAATTGTTTGTAATTAATATTACTTAAATCAAAGCCTAATCAAAGCCTACTGATTAATCAGTGAAATAATTAATGGTTAGTCGATTAATCATTCTAATAATCAATAATTATTAATTATCAAAATAATAATTTGTTACAGCCCTACATTATATAAAATAATTTATAAATATTGTATAAGGCAAATAATTTGGCTTGTGATTTCTTCCAAAATTCTATACGCAAATTATAGAAAATTATAAAATCTATTTCACAGGAGAAAAATGTAAGCAGGAAACTCAATTTATTCTCTGTTTCATTTCATTATTGTCTATAAGAAAAATTGAGACATTAACAAAAGACCTCGTTTGTGACGTTTCTTTTCTGTGGGCTACTAAGCTTCTCATTGTTCAGCTGTTCTTCAGAGATGCATCTACAGTAACTGTAACATAAAAGCTTTTTCTTAAAAGTGAAATAGATGCTGATTTCTCTCTCTCTCTCATCTTCTCAGTGTGTGTTCTGTACACTCAGGGAGTGGAGTCTAAGCAGTGGCGTGAGGTAAGTGTCCACGTTCAGGAACAAACCTACAATCAGCTCTGACAGAGACTCCCTCATTTGCCCTAATCAGCTCTGCATATCCTCTCTATATCTCCGCCCCCTTCAGTCTCTCCGCAGCCCTCTGGTGCGCATCACTGCCCATTGATTCTCCTGTTGAATATTCATGAATCTGTCACCATGACGGTGATTGACTGTTAAGATGATTGTACACTTTCCGTTAGCGATTAGCATTAAACTCGATCTGGCTCTTAAGTTACAGGCCAATGCTTTTGTAATGCTTCCCAGCTCACTAAACATGATTTTTCACACTTAAATTGCGTTGAGCTGGAGGACCCGGCCCTTGGATTTGGCAGGTCATTGCAATCAGCTGAAAATCGGACATCCTCAGGCTATCATATCCATCACTGAGCTAGCAAAAAGACCTTGAGTATGAAAAATTGCTTTGCGGTTCTCTTTTGCAAGTCTTGGTTTGTGTTTCAGACCCTTTTAATTGAATCCCCTATTAGCGGGTGACAGTTGTTCTAGCAGGTGTTCTCAAGGCTGATGTGCATGCGTCAAAGCAGTCGTAAATGTCAGGATGTGCGCATGAGGAGCTGTAACAACTTTTTGACCCAAAATAAAACTGGTACTGGTGTCGATTTTCGTTCTTCACAGATGGTTTTGATGGAACACCTTTCTCCGACGATGAAAGACGACGGCTTACATAACACTGAGCAGGTTGCTAACTCTGATTAGCTGCGTAGACTCTTTCTCCATGCCTCTGCCCGTGCAAGATGCCTCTTGTTTGGGCATAATGCCAACCACTGTGGAAAAGAGGCAGTCAAGCTGTAAGGGATTGATAAGGATGGAGTTTTCTTTGTGCGTTTTTCCTGTCTCAGCAGGAGATTTGGGAGTATGTGTGTCTGCCTCTTTATTACTAACACAGCATAAGCGCCTTACTTTGACAGAGGGATTGTGTCCATGGTTAGGCTACTGTATCTCATATTCTTGTTTTCTTATATTTTTTCTGTATTTAATTGTTTACATATTAATAAGCAACTAACTACTGAATTTTATGTATTAAAGTGATCTTACCATGGATAATAGTATTGTCTTGAATGTATAGTAAAATTGCTGTAACACACAGTCTAGAGTAGCTTAATACTTTGAACTAAATTTTATTTTTTGGTAGTTAAGGTATAGTTCTTTAGATAAATAGTTCAGCAAAAATAAAATAATAATAATAATAATGTAACCATTTGTCGTTCCAAAAAAGCTGTATGACTTGCTTTCTTCTGTGAAAAATAAAAGAGAACATTTTGAGAAATGTCTCGGTGTTTTTTCTCTATACAGTGTAAGTAAATAGTAGCCAAAATTGTTTGGTTACCAACATTATTCCAAATCTCTTTTTTATGCTGAAAAGAAGAAAGAAATTCATTCAGGTTTGGAACAACATGAGGATGAGTAAATGTTGACTTTTATGAAGCTGAAAATGGTGTTAAACATGAATGATATGCTTCAACTACCACACTCTCAGTTTCCTGCTTCCCATATATGAGCTGCCTATGATTGCACAAACTGATGGGCAGGCGGAAAATGCATCAATGTGTTTTTCTTGGCTAGACAAAAAAATTCAACTAATAAGGGATAGTGTCATTCCAATCAAAAAATCATGTACAATACCTTTAAGATAGTTGAACATGATTTGCAGTTGTAAATATTTCAAATCTAAAGACCTATTCACACCAAGAACAACTGAACAACTTTAATGATGGTTTACTTGATAACACTTATTTTAAACGCGCTCTGCAGTAATGTTACCTGCCTCATTAAATGCTCAAGCTCTTTAAAGTTGGATGGATTCTGATTCACTGTCAATGATTTTATCAGGCATTAGCTGAAAAAAAATGTTTTTTGAAAGTGATTTCAACAATATCACTCCAGTTTTTTTTGTGTCGATATTGTTATTGCTGTGCTGCGGACTTCCCTATTCTTATGGAATTAGAACAAATAGCAAAATGTTAATCATAGTTATCTTCCTTAGTCTGGATGCTAACATAGTTATCCTTGGTGTGAATGGGCCTGAAAGGAACACTCCACTTTTTTTGGAAATAGGCTCATTTTCCAACTCCCCTAGAGTTAAACAGTTGAGTTTTACCATTTTCAAATCCATTACTCAGCGCCTGAAAATAGGCTAACTTCCGCCAACATAACCAACGTGACCACCTGCTTGCACAGGGAGCGTGCTGGGGACTGTTTTCAGGTGCTGCGTAATATCATTGCGCCTGCTACACCCATAGTACGGCAGCAAAGTTCCTTGATTATTACGCCGGAATGAGAGTATAGTTCCTAGCCATATCGGCCTAGAAAATCGCAACTTTTCATTTTCTGTTGGTCTTGGTACACGATGTAACTACAGAAGAGTCAAGTTTTAAATAGGAAAAATATCAAAACTCTTTGGTCATTTTTGAGCGAGATGCTAATTGTCTAATCAGATTCAATGATCTATGCTAAGCTGCTGTTAAAAGTGCTACCACCAGACCCTGAGATCGGCTGAATGGATTCGAAAACTGTAAAACTCAACTGTTTAACTCTGGGGGAGTTGGAAAATGAGCCTATTTTCAAAAAAAGTGGAGTGTTCCTTTAACATAAAATCTAAAGCTCTTCATGAAAAACTTCTAGAAATCCCTAATATCTTATCTGCGACTTTCTGCGATTTCTTTCCCTTGTAATATTATTGACTATTGAGTGTCAGAACACATGATAATCAGTTTCACTTAGATCTTGAAGGGTTTTTAATCGCAGTTTTAATTCAAGTAATTTTTATCAAAGTCATTGATTTTATCCTACTTTGCATAATATCATATATTGCATAATAAAGTTTTTCTGTTCTGTGCATCATAATTGGCTTAAACTTTATTTACCTGTTGTGATTTCACACTCTCGTCTCAGCATTGCTATCTACAAATGTTAGCTGCACAAATCAGACAATGTTGTGTTTTATCTTTCTCTTCTTTTCTGAATGTGACCTTGTGTTAATGCTCCTGTAGAGTTTGTTTTGCACAGTAGTGGTCTGAACAACAGGTTTCACCTCTTTTTCACTGTGCCTTGGCTGCCTCTTTAACACTCAATGGGAGGTAAAGCTTTTTCAAAAGCAGTTTGGAGATTTAAGTTGAATGTTTTTCTTTGCATCTCCTCTATCCGATGGGATTTCTGTCCAAAGGCAGTTTTGACAAAAAGGTTGAAAACCAGTGCAATACTTGCAGAATAATGCGCCATATGAAAAACCGTAAAAGGCTTTATGTGCAGCAGAAGGTTAATAGAATGATTTATAGCAGATGTAAAGTCAGACTGTGAGGTTGTATTAGCAGCAGTGCATAAAGCATTATGTTATGAATCCTAATGACTATCACAGAGCTTTGCTTGAGAATGTTCAGTCATTCCTAGCCTGTGCAATTATCAATGTTTATGGCCTTGAAATATAAATTCATCCTAATTTTTACAAATTTAAGTGTGTTATTTGTGGTTCAGGCTACGTGATTTGGAAATTGTCTTTTAATATGAAAGTTTATGCATCTTTAAACTACTGCAGAGAACATCAGACATGCCTCAGGCTGTAAGCATATATTACACTGAATGTTTGTGAGATAGTCAGTCTGTGATGTTGTGCCTTTATCATTAACAAGAGCACTGTGGGATGGTCTTTACTGTATGTTTAAATCACCTTATCATTCCCGTATCCCTCATAAGCCGTCTCCTTCATTTCTGCACGGCCAGGGTGTTGTAACACCCTTCTGGTGATGCATTTATTTATGCATTTCTCATCTGCCTCATCTTGTTTAATTATTCATGGGAAACACAATTAGCTGAGGGAGCTGCAGAGCATCCTTCAAGAATACAGTGAAAGACGACAGGCTTCTCTTCTCTTCTCTTCTCTTCTCTTCTCTTCTCTTCTCTTCTCTTCTCTTCTCTTCTCTTTTCTTGTCTTCTCTTGTCTTCTCTTCTCTTCTCTTCTCTTCTCTTCTCTTCTCTTCTCTTCTCTTCTCTTCTCTTCTCTTC